TAAAACCCGCGAATATAATGGCTGTCCTTTCCTTCTCGACATTATTGGATCCGCACCAGTTGCAACAAGCCCACCCATGCCTGCGCAAGTGATGAATATCCAGGCCCGATGAACTGTCCTAGCAATGTCTTCCGCGGTCGCTCACATCTAAACCTTCTTGTTGAGACGAGTGGCATTAAAGCCCCGCCTCGTTTGCTCTCGCGTTTCTGCAACATCTCCCGCTCGTCCACATGTAACGTGTGAGCGTTGACGCTGTTCGTTGACGTAGATGAATTCCCAGGGGATGATTCCAGTACAGTTGACCGCTGTAATTTTCAAGCGCATTCACACGCCCCTCCCCCCGCCACGACACACTCCGCAATAAGCCACCCGCTGCGCCTCCCGGCAACGACACCATGCAACAGCTCTCCACACACGCCACGCTCACCTCACACCCACGGGCGCCGCCCCCCGCCCACCGCTCACCCTCACCACCCACGCCACACGCAGACGACGCGCACGCGCACGCGCACGCTGCCACGCCTCCCCCCCGCCCGCACGAGACGCACCAGCGCACACGCCACCACCGCCAACGCACCACCCCGCCCACGATCGCACAACGCAATCCACGCCACACACAGACACCACACAGCAGCCACACACCCGCGCCGCACACACACACTCATAACAAAGCTACAAATACGGCCAATGAATGGCGTGCGTCCCGGCTCTCTTTATCCCAGCGGCGCCTGAATATGGAGCGCCATCCTGCCAGGCCCGAAAACACCTCCTCGGCTGATCCTTTCCAAGCCGAATCGCTTCGCCTATCCGACTCGACTCTCGTAAGCGAGCTGCACTCCGTCTTATTGCCCGCACGCTCGGCCGCTCGCGCGGCGCTTCCAAACACGAAGCGTCTGGCCCGACGGCGGCCCGTTCCGTTCGGTCACCTCCGCCATGTGCTTGCTAATACTACCTGCATCCCCACTCCCCTGACCTCGAGTCATCCATCACTCCAACCCTACTCATTGGTTTAAACAAAGCTCTGTCTAAAAATGCCTGAAATATATGTCAAAATCGAAATCCTGAAATATTCTTCCCTTAAACATCGATTAACAGGCCCCCTCACACTCTTTACCTAGTCCCCCAAGGCAATCTCTCACTTTTTATTTAAGACTATTACTCTCCTGCTGAAACCACTACTTGCCATCCTCTGGCTCTCAGCCACCACGGCCACTCATCAATAAGCTTCAATTCTTCACCAAAAACACGCAAAATGCACTTCGCACGCCCTAGCGTTTTGAAGCATCATACCTTCTCTTATGAAAGGTCAGTGGACGCGCCGGCCGCACGGTTACACCTCCAGTCCTGTCCAAATAATTTGCACAGCACGCGGCGCTACGAACAGCCCCTCATCACACACGACGCGCGCACTCGGCACATCACACACAGCGCGCCGCACGCACGCTCACCTACATGCATTCAACAAGCACTACCAGGCTACGGCCATGCGCACGCACAATCACCACGCCGGGCGCACACACACACAGAGCCACAACACACGGAGTACGCACATTTACACAGCGGGCCGCCGCGCTGGCGCGGGCCCGAGGCCCGCACCGGGGGCGGCACTCACACACACACAGCACTCACCGCACACAGCAACACACCGAGTGCCCAGTGGGCGCCGCGCCCGGGCGCGCCACAACACACATACACCACAACCCACCACACGGATCCCAACCCGCCACATACACATACACATACACATGGCACACGCACAACGCACACGGCCACACAACCACAGCACACCACTACGACATACACATACACATACACATACACGCACAACCCACGCCCGCGGGGCGCCTTTCGCCGAGGGGATGCCGCACGCGCGCGCGTTGGTGCTGCACGCTACGGCCCGCAGCCGCGGGGTAGCGGCACACGACACGAAAGCTACACATACACATACACATACGACCTTACACACATAGCACATACAACTGCAGCGCCGTCTCTCGTGTGGGGTTTGTGCTAATTTTCGCGGTCTCTCACCAGCTGTGCGCGGCCAGTGATTGGGCTGTTTAATACACCGACAGCCGCAAATGGCCTTTGGTGTGTGGTGGTCGTGTGTGTGTGGGTGTGTGTGTGTGTTGTGTGTGATGTGTCGTGTGCGCGTCCCGGTGTTGCCGTGGCGTTCGTGCGTGCGTCCGCCGCTTAGTGTGGCTCTGTTATGGTCTAGGTGAATGCTCCCCCTATCTAATTAAAGGTCTTATTATTATGAACCACGGTGTAATCTGAGCATTGTAGTATGACTACTATTATCGAGTTAAGAACCAGGTGGGAAGGAAAACGAGAGTTTAAGACTAGATGGCCGTTGCGGCAAAAGATGACGTTTGGTTCCCCGGACCGGGCCGAAGAGCGGTTGAAGCGCGCAGTTTTTATGGGCGCACGCGACCGCCCTTCAGCAGGCATAGTTATGCGTAAGGCTCCGCCGCTATACTTGCATTCGCCGCAGCCGAAGGAAAGGCGGGCGCGTAATGGCGAATGCGTATAAGGCGGCGGCCAGCGTAACATCGGCAGGAGTTTTCGGCGCACAAAAATCCGCCGAGGCCAGCTCACGTGAGCGCGGGGGAGGAGGGCGGCTGGAATCGTGGCGCTTCCCGCCGTCTGCTAAAAACATGTGATATATACTACCTTTCGGTGGTGTCCCAGTGTGGCGCGCGCGTGCTCTGTAAGATTAGCCTAGCGTGTAAACAACTCACCGGCCGACGCCACCACGTGCTCGCACGACGTGCCGTCGCCCTAAGCGCGGCAGCGCGGGTCAAGAGAGGACATATCAACATTCCATATTGCATATCGGCTTGGGATACTTACTAATCCGAACTCAAAGGAATTCTCAGTTAAACCAACGCATTGCCAATCAAGTCCAGGCCTGCGGGGAACTAAGATCGCGCTGGTGCCCACGTCACGACTCAGCTAACTCGTACGGGCCCTTTTAACATTCGGCCAAGTAATCTTTCGGCTACCAGCTAAAGTTATAGTTTAGTGAGCGTGTCAAACATCTCCACCGGCGCGGGCAGTCTTAAGGAAAATTCTCTGGAAAATCCGCGTTCGAAGAGAGCGCTCGTCGGGCGCGAAGTCTATGGGACGCGATAATGTACGAGAATCAAGTTTCAGGGCGTGAAATTAAATTAAATTCGCAAATCGCCTTTTCTAGGACGAAAAACCTAACCGCGCCAACCAAAAAAATTAGCAATTCACGAGCCATTGATTTTATTCTCGCCGCTAACTGCAGCGGATGCTTCGACAAGGGCTTCTGGGCAATCGCCAGAACTGCGTGCACATTGACCGTTATCCGGCGCGCTTTCCTGTAGACCGCAGACCGGCGGCCTTCGAGTAGTTAGTTCTACATACGAACGGGCGAGCGAATTGGATGAAAAAGTGAACGACGAGGTCGGCGCTGTTCGGGCTTCGCCGGCGGTCTTAATCCGGATGGCGCAGATCGCGTCTAAGAAAAAAAAATATTTTGTCAAATAAAAATATAAGGCGGAACCAAAAAAATTCATGAATAAAATTAATTTTTAATTTTTAAAACCTCTCTTTGATATAAGCAATCATTCACACAATCATTCAATGCAGTTCAAGGACATAATGCTGCCAGTCTGTAAAAACAAACGTTGGTTGTACTCTTCAGAGAACAAACGGGGGTTAGTCGTCAGGTGCTTGTTCCTTAGAAATTTACAATATATAATTATAGATCATACTAAGGTTACTACTGCTCAGTAAGCAGCACCAAAGCACCTTATTGACATGGGGCGACATCCTAGTGGTTGTAAATGGAGAATATATTCCCAACGTACATCACATGAAAGTTCGACCAGTCTTTGACCTACCCAGCGCTTTCTCTCAGAGTTAGTTTTGAAAAAATAGGCCACGCTGCCTAGTCAGACTTTGACATTTTCAATTTTTTTCAAAACCACCACCAGAGCTCTCGAAATAAACGAACAAGCCGGACCTTAAGTCCGAATTTCTACAGGAACCTGATACAGATTCGCGGATGATATAGTATGCTTGACATCATTTGGTTTTGTCTCCTTCTCCGTCTTTTTTTGCTGGCCGTCGCCGCCAATCGTCACTTTTCTCGTCGTCATCGATCGTCATATGCATCATCCTCTGCAGAGGTCACTCTATCACTGTCGTCCCGTCCAATCATCGTCAGCATCAGCCTGACGACCTGCAGGAGAAGAAACAGAATTTACAATCGGCTCCAAGAGCGACAGGTCAAACAACAGGAAACGACCAAAAGCAACGTTTCGTATACTCGACGCGCGGTAGAGATAAGAGAGGCGAGTCGCCATGCCACGATCCAAAATGATCCAGACACGCCATCCATGGCGCGAACTGATCGTATGCAGCGGTGATGCGCACCGCTGGTGTACGACTCACTCCCGTAGCCGCCGAAGCTGTAACCGCTGAATCGGCGGGCGAAGGGGCCGGTCGTTGTCGATCGTCGTCTCCTCCTCCTCCCAATGGACTGTTGTACTCCAGTCCCGATCGAACGGCGGCCTGTCTTCCGTACGACAATCGACTCCGAGCCTGCGGAAGAACGTTGCGAGAGAGAGAGGCGGATGCTGTGAGTACCGGACCGAGATCACTGATAACGCGCCACAGTCGTCGTCGTCGGACGTTCAGATCCGAAGGTCCCAGGGTTCAAGTACCTCCGTGTGAGTACCCTCTGTCGTGGCGATACCTCTGTACTACGCGATTACCTCTTTACTGCGATTACCTCTGTACCTGGGCGCGATTACCTCTGTACTGCCGATTCCATCTGTACTCCCGCGTTACGCTCTGTACTGGCGATTACTTCTGTAGCTCGCGATGTATTCTGTACTGGCGATTACCTCTGTACTGCGATTACTTTCTGTACTGCAATTACCTCTGTACTGGCGATTGACCTCTGTACCTGCGATTAACCCTCTCTACTGGCGATTACATCTGTACTCGGCGATTACGCTCTGTACTCGCGATTACCTCTGTGACTGGCCGATTACCTCTTTGGTAAAGCTGGCGATACCGTCTGTACTGCCGATTACCGTCTGTACTCGCGATTGACCTGCTGTACTGGCGATACCTCTGTACTGCGATTACCTCTGTACTTGGGCGATTACCTCTGTACTGCGATTCTTCTTGTACTGCGATTACTTCTGTTACTCGGCGATTACCTGTGTACTCGCGATTACCTCTGTACTTGCGATTACTTCTGTACTCGGCGATTACCGTCTGTACCTGGCGTTACCTCTGTACTCGCGATTACCTCATGTAAACTGCGATGTACATCTGTACTCGCGATTACCTCTGTACTGGGCGATTACCGTCTGTACTCCCGGGCGATTACCTCTGTACTGCGCAGTTACCTCTTGTACTGGCGATGTGACCTCTGTAGCTGCGATTACCTCTGGTACTGCGATTACGCTCTGCTACTGCGATTACCTCTGTACTGCGATTACCTCTGTACTGCGATTACCTCTGTACTGCGATTACCTCTGTACTGCGATTACCTCTGTACTGCGATTACCTCTGTTATGCGATTTACCTCTGTACTGCGATTACCTCTGTACTGCGATTCACTCTGTACTTCGCGATTCACCTCTGTTCGCGATTACCTCCTGTACTGCGATCTCCGCTCTGTACTGGCGATTAGCTCTGTCGTGCGATTACTCTGTACTGCGATTTACCTACTGCTGTAACTGCGAGTTACCTCTGTACTGCGATTACCTCTGTCGTGCTCCCCCCACCTGAGCACTTTGTCTCGATTTTTTTTCCGCTCGTACCTTCTACAGGGATAGGTTTGGATTGCCTCGCCGGCGTGAGGCTAACGACCTCACTCGCGCAATAACGAGTAACCTTACCTTGCTAATAAAGTTTATCTCAGTTAGATCCAAATTAAGTTAAAAATAACTTACACTGACGAACTTAACTTAATTTGGATCTAACTGAGATAAACTTTATTAGCGTGTGAACTATAGGGATCAGATGAAATTATTCGAGTAACCTTATCGTTATCGAAACCAAAGCATCGCAGAAGCGAAGGCACTACGTTGGGAGAGGTACCGGGTGAATTAGCAGCTTCCCAGGTGAAAAATATCTCATTTCTTATCTACCAGTTAAGTAAGATCGCCCGGTTTCCTTCTATTTCCACAATCAGGAAAAATTTATCAGGTATCTCTCGTTTCCCTGACGATTAAAGCAGTACAATCCCGCATCCCAATATATAACCGGTCCCCCGTGCCCATACGCTGCGTCCCCCGTGGATACGCTGCACAAATCCAGCCAAAAGGACGTAAAACCAATCAAACAGAACAAGTGGTGTAACTCGCTTCTTGCATTTCTGATTTTCTCATATTAAGAAGGCTGCCGAGGTTTGACAAAGACCGGATTATTTCCGCATCGACGGCGATCGGCCGGGAACGTTAACGCGTGTACTCACTCGACATGCTCAGGTCCTTGGTGTCCTGCGTATCGTAACCGCACTTCGGACAGGGAATGCGCTGTCCTTTCTCGTACTTGAAGCCCTTGCGCCTCACGTGATCCTCACAGAAGCACGTCTGCAAACGAAGCAACGTCTATCGTCAGTTCTACTTCCAAACTCCTCGTCCGAATCTCCTATACGGTGGACAGCGAGGAGACGAACGGCCCGGCATTCGAATTTTTTCGAGATTCGAACATGTTGTATTCGACAAATGAATAAAATTCAACATACGAACGTCTTACGAATCAGCCAATCAGGGCATAGGCCTAGCTCTTTCGGTGAGTCAGTTTAAGTGTGTGACTCATTGACTGTGGTTGTACTCTCATGATTGCACTTGCTGTACGTCCCATATAGGGCCGGGATACACATTTTTCGACATACGAACAAATCTGTGGAACGAATTAAATTCGTATCTCGGGGGTCCACTGCATAGCATAAATACTACACGAAATTATGACATCGATTAAAGCGTTACGATGAAATGTTAACATTTAAAATATAAACAAACATTACTAGAACGATTCCTGTAAAATTGACATACCTTGCATCTCAAACAAGAATATTGGCCTAACTTATTGCAAGACAAACCTGAAAACAATAAAATGAAATAAGGAAATGGTAAAGCAATAAAAATACATGTAGTATAATACTACGTTGGCGGCCTTTTGATAACATATAAAATGATTGTAGATAATTTAATACGAACTGAACACACCTCGCTTCTATTAATAAGTACAATTTAACTTTAGCTTTTAAATTTAATTTGAAAACTTAAAAACAGAAAAAAAGCCTACACTTGTATGTTTCCGCTTCCAACACTTGACACTTTGCCTGATGTTCAAACTGGTCGTCCTCACAGAGAAAGTTGTCGCAGAAGCAGCACTTAAACACACGGCCACCTGCAATAGAACGTGCGTCGCATTGACACAGTCATCTCATTGCCAGTAACCTCACTTGCTCTTCGATCGCTTGTTCGTGTGAGTAAAATGACTGGCAGGGTTGATTATATTTATAAATGACATGTTCACTATCGCATGACAAACTATGCATAGTGCAACCCATGCAGATATGGGGGAGGAAGAGGAGAGCGACTGAGAGAGAGAAGGGGAAGAGAGAGAGAGAGAGGAAGAGAGAGAGAGAGAGAGAGAGAGAGAGAGAGAGAGAGAGAGAGAGAGAGAGAGAGAGAGATAGAGAGAGAGAAAGACAGAGAGAGAAAGAGAGAGCGAGAGAGAGAGAAAAAGAGGGAGAGAGGGAACAAGAAAAATTCGAAAGGAGTAAAAGGCGATGGGTAAAACAACTGACCATGCTCCCAGACCCCCCGTTCGCCTCCGCGCAGACAGCATCCCGGAGTATGCAGCTGCATGCATGAGTCGTCAAGCACTTCCTCCCGTGACACACCCAAGCCTCGCAAAAATCAGCAGATCGCGCCTGAAAATAAAAATCCGTGAGAAAGGTGCTACATAGGGTCAGGAGTGAATAATAGAGTGAATAATATCTCTATTATTCACTCCTGATATGGCAATACGGCCTTATGTCCCACCGGGAGACCAAGAGGATAAGGAGTAAGAAGAATATGGTAATATAGAGGCGTCATGTGCCAGTCGTTCCTGCCGAAACACACAAAAAGCTACTGATCACGTTCCTGCTCTGTTACTAACTCTCTTACCCTCCCTCATGCTACCCCTTTTTTCCTTCTTTCTTGTCATTTCCTCCTTTGAGGGAATGAATGTGAGCTATAGGATAATAGCATGAATACGGATATAATACACAAATTACATATAATAAACATATTACATATAATAAACATATTACATATATAATAAACAACGTATGTAGGTACATGTATGCGGATATGCTTACCACCATGGCCATCCCCGTTGAAAACTGTCCTGGGTGTTTTATAACACAATCTCCGCGTTTTCTGCATACACTTTTGCTTACCTATAATTACCATAGTATTAGTGTAATTGCATAAGATTTAGATTTTTGCATTTTTATAATAGCAATCATCAAAAATGTGAATTCAATCACTTGTGCATATTTGATAAATGACAGCTAGATCTCTATTTAGCTTGTAAAATTATTATATAGAAAATTGTTGAATAACGCACAATTAACTACAGACGATATTGATAAATTGATTTAATTAACCTTTTTTTATATGCATAAATTACCTACCACATTGGGCACACACTGGCAGCCTTTTGCAGCGCTACTACAAAAGTAGCAAAATGCTCGATTCTTCTGTTTCCTACAAATGATCATTAAACAACTTTTCGAATTTTACGAAATTGCTCGAAACCTCAAAATACAATAAATTTAATTGCTATACTATTAATTCTTTACAATATAATATATATATAAATTATATATACAGGGGTTCTTATACATAAGAAGCACAGTGGCGCACCGCCGTTGTCAATTTAACATCGCCGTTGTGAAAAATGTTCGCTCTATTTACTGATAAGTATATCCTCTATCTATATACCTATAAGTATATTCAATACATCCTGTATTTGAATGCCATCATATGTGCATTTTTTTCCCAACTGGCCATTACGCTCCGTTGTCTAATTTTCCGCTCAGAAGAAACCCTGTATATATATATGTATATATATATATATATAAATATAATATAATATAATATATATATATATATATACATATACAATTAATGAAATACAGTTATAAATCTGAAGTGCTGCTCTTCTCCTCTTCACTTACCTCTTGCATTTATCGCACTCCTGAAACAATAACAATAAAGAGCTGCATTGTGAAATTTTGACATTTTTCGTGTTACCATGGCGATGTCACATGAATGACGTCTATATAACAATGAACATTGTGTTTTACAATAGAGGTAATAAATTATGGCAGTTATATTGTCACAGGGCATTTTGCACTCAATCCTAGTTTGGGACGCTGCTATATTGCGTTCACGTATGCGCTAAACTAATCCAGGGTCAGCGGGTGATAAACTAGGCTTGGACCGGATTTTTTCATGCAGGTCACTCTATAACAATCCGTTGACATACATATAACTTTAGTATAGACCCACACCAGTGGTAGAGTATTGTATTACACTAATACTGACGCACAAAGGGTCGTTGTCGTATAATGGCGTATAATATGTACCCGAGGTAACTATTTGATATGGTTAGCGTTATAGGGTGTTAGGGTTAGGGAGTAGGCATAGGCGACATACTCGCCGACACCTCTGGTACTGCACATACGACAACGACCCCTTCAGCAATACTGACACTTAAGTTAATGTGACACCGAGAGTGACAGACAGTGTCAGTCACATACTGATAGTGCACTATTGATGCGTTTATTCCTTACGGACTGTCCAGTATAGAAGTAGAAGTAGAAGTATGATAGTTGATACTACTAGTACTATAGTAGTACTAGTAGTAGTAGTATTACTACGACTCATGTTCTTCACTGACAACTTCACTTCACTGACAGTGACACAGTCACTTCGACACTTGTGCAAACTTACCATGATGAAATTGCACGGCTTCTCTGCAACACCCTTATCCGAAGATCTTATGCCCTTTTGCCTCTCCCTTTGTTTCTCTGCCTTTTTTCTTGCTCCAGTCTTTTTCTTAGGCATGATTGATGATCGCAATTTACATGTACATGTATGTGTAGGTGTTTTCATTCATTCGTACGTGCACGAGTTAGGCATAGACCGGAGCTTCTAAACCGTGGAATTATTGTAGAACTTGCAAGTGTATTTCACGCCGGACTACATATGTTAATTACATCTTAACAACACGCTTTAATATGTTATAACATGATAGTGCGATATGTAAGTGAAGAAAAGCCTATGATATTACCATAGAAATGATTTTGAGATTGGAGTTACAGTAGAAACGATCGCATGCTTCGGCGAAATCATCCGCTCTGGACACTAGTGCATTCTGGGATAGAAAAACATTCGCCATGTTTTGATAGAAGGTGGAGCTATTTTTGCATCCAGCGGTAGTGAAATATTTCCAATTTTGTGCACATCTCCGTCGGACACTGTTTCGATCCGCGTCAAAATGGGGTTGTTGCCTCTCGAGTTCAGTGACTGCTTGTCAGATAGTCCATACTTTAGAGAAAACATCCATGCACACGAGAGAGAGTTGGAAAATACGAGTCAGCAAATCAAGTCGATGATTAAGGAATGCAAAGATTTACTGGCAGCTGCAAGAAGTGAGTACAATGTACACGAAATCGATCTATCGTTCATGCTAACGTATGGCAGCACTCGGATGTCGTCAGGACTGGCAAGTGGAGCATTTCTAACGTAAAAATTGACGCCAGACGATGCGAGCGATCAATTAAATATGGATGCTGGTGTGTTGCCCATAGCATAGTCCCTGTCCGTTGCCAATGTCGATTGGTTACGTTAACTGGGAGCAGCCATCTCGGTGATGGACACTATTGCTAGACAACTTCGTCCTGACCTATTAATGCAAAGACATGGGCGTGTCAAAATTCACGAAATTACTGAACTACAAACTCGACTTTGGGCAACTGCTGGTCCCTGTTGCTTCTGTCTGAGTGTCTTGATTGCATCATTGCATGGATAGTTAGTCACACACAGGTTTTGTTGATGGGGGCGTGTGTACTCGTGGTGTGTTTTCGAGACGCTACGCCACACTACTGTGATCTCGGGCCATTGCTGGCGTTTTTCGCATTGGTTTCAGTTGCTACGCTTGCTCCACGTTGATGCAGATCTGCTTATATGCCATGCTCATCACACATCGGATATATCGGCGCAAATCCACTTTAGGCACCTTAGGTATCACGAAGTGTGTTAGGGTTAGGGTTAGGGGTTTTGCATCATTCCTTGGGTTTTTACACCATTCCTTGATATACGGAAAGTTTGTGCATCAGTTGATGATACACAGAAATCTGTGCATCACTTCGTGATACCTAAGGTGCCTAAAGTGGATTTGCACCGGATATATATCATCCTCACTCATCACAATAAACCCTAACCTTAATCCTTTACTGTAATCCCATCCCTTACCAGAAGCTAATCCTAACCACGCCATGTGTGTACGGGTGTGTGTGGGCTTCCTAAAGTAGGTTTGACACCACTGATGAATTGAAAAACCAATATTGTTCTATACGATCTGAATTGTCACTCGTACAATCGTTAGGTTGTTGTTGAGTTCTCGCTTTGTTAGCCTGGCTAACCACCCGCCAAGCACACCCACGTTTACGCGATGTGTTCTCGGTAAAGGTGCGTGATTAATGTTCAAATAAGATTAGTCACGTACAGGCGGTTATACAAATTCCGCAAACAGCGGCGTGGGTGTGTTAGGTTATCTAGTATTTGGCAGCTGTATGATAGTATTTTTTGACGGGTGCTGACAGTTTAGAATTAGTTTTGATTTAGCTGCAGTGCAGAGCATGTAAACAACACAGGCTGGGTTGTGTAGCATGAGTAAGCTATTTTCATTTATTTTGGTTTATAGTAGGGACACAAATTTACAATATGGGTATGAAGTTGGGCGACATACCTGATACAATGCAATGGGGTTGTTAGACATGGAATATATTATATATCAAGAGTACATAATAGAGATTATTATGTCTCTATATGCTGCTGCATGTCTTATAGTGTCTATTATGTACTCTTGATATATATATATATATATATATATATATATATATATGTTATGTATATATATATATATTTGCCATAGTCACCTGCAATATTTATATCTGTACTACCCCCCCTACCACCTCTAGCTAGCGTACATTTTTTAAATGGCCGATTACGTAATGTACTATGCAGGGCCCTGATTGGCCACCGCTTTAAAGTGCAGCCACGCGAGTAAGATGCTTGCAGTTACGCGTACACGTAGCTATGGTAACGAGTTGGAACCAATATCTGGCCGTGGCGGGAGTTACCCAACATTGTGCGAAAATGTGGTTAAGCTATTAATTGGGGGGAATAAAAGAGCATGAGTCATTCGCATGCTCCTCCACAGCTGTTGATGTGATGTTAGCTCGGTGGCTGTTTAGCAGAGATCTGCATACATGTGACGGTGCCTCTACCACCACCACCACCACCACCACCACCCCCACCACCTCACCTCCAACTCGCCGCTGTATCAACGATGAAAGCATGCATACTCGAGTAAATTTTCAGCAGCCGCTTTTTTACGTTAGAAGCAAGTCCGCTCATATATAATTTGTTCACGCGTGTACGGTTCAATGCAGGGACGTTCTGGGCTTGTTTTGAATTCAGCTAGTTGCACGCACTCACGCACACGCGCACCCCCCCCCCACACACACACACCCTCACCCACACACACGCACGAACACACGCACGCACATGTATATAATATATATGTGCTATATAATACCTATTATTAGCTCTTGATATACGTGCATATCAATCGTGGCTGATTGTAATCCAATCCTTTTTATAAATCCCCGAGTAGAACACGCAGCCGTAGTAGCTAACAAACAGCCCTACGCGGCTGCGCACTTTGTGAAGAGAAACTCTCTATGCAGCGAATGTTTTTCCTTTGCCGCACCTTCCTCGGCTCCCTTTCTAGATATTACACGAGTGCGCGGGCCCGCAATTACACTGATCTTCCATTGTTCTGTAACCACCCACGTAAAAATCAATCCAGTGTGCGTACAGTGCGGTGAGATGGGGGAGGATGCGTGCAGTCCGCGGATGCGGCAGCAGCAGCAGCAGCAGCAGCAGGAATCGGTGACCAGAGCCTGACCGCTATAGTAGTGGTGGGTGGCGTGTGTACTGACCGCTGGTGCGAATCGAACATCGGGTTTCGGCGGCGGTGGTGGTCTCCTGCGTCTCTCTTTCGCTCTAATTTGCTCTCTCTTTCGTCTCTCTCATCTCTCTTCTCTCTTTCCTTCTCTCTCTCGTCTCCCTTCTCTCTGCTCTCTCTCCTCTTTTTTTTTTTTTCTCGTTCTCCTCTCTCGACTCTCTTCTCTCCGCGTCTGTCTCTTCTCTCTCTTCTCTTCTCTTACTCTCCTCCCGGGGCGGCGTCTTCCTCTCTCTCTCCTCTCTCTCCTCCTCGTGCGTCGCTCGGCCCGTCTCATCTCCCTTTTCTCTTCCCCGCTCCTCTTCTCTCTCTCTCTCTCATCTCTCTCTCTCTCTTCTCTCTCTCTCTCTCTCTCTCCATCTCTCTCTCTCTCTCCTCTCTCTTTCCTCTCTCTCTCGATTCTCTCTCTCTCTCGTCGCATTCTTGCTCTCTCTCTGCTCTGCTCCTCTCTCTCCCCTTTTCCCCCCCCCTTTTTTCTCTCTCTCTCTCTCTCGCTCTCTCTCTCTTTCACTCTCTGTCTCTCTCTCTCTCTCTCTCTCCCTCTCTGTCTCTCCCTCTCTGTCTCTCTCTCTCTC